GTGCGTCATCAAACCGATGACGGACGAATCAAGGACCTCTGAGAAATTTTTAAGTTTTACTAGACTATACGGCGCTACAGCCCAGAAGTCAGCCATCTTCAGTATGGGCCTTCCATCTACGTATCAAAATACCATGAAGTATTACTAACATAGTTAAAATCTAGCGGGATTTGCCTTAAGACACAGGGTAAGCTCAGTAACTTGAAAGCCTAATGGTTTTCTAATTGAGCATGCGAGCTGTTTTTTCTGCCATAAACATTTATTTAACATCGTAAACTTTGCAGCATTTTGTGTTACATGTACTCCTCCCCCAATATTGTCAGGGTGATTAAGTCGAGAAGAATGAGATGGACGGGGCATGTAGCGCGCATGGATGGGGCAAGAGGTGTGCACCGGGTATTGATCGCGAAGCCTGAAAGGGAGTGACCGCTGGGGAGACCTAGACGTAGATGGGAGGATACTCTCAGGCGGGATCTATGGGAGATAGGAGTTGAAGGAGAATGGGTTTTGTTGGCCCAGGACAGGGTCCGGTGGAGGGCTTTGGTTAATTCGGTGATGAACCTTCGGTTTCGGTAAGCCATCTAGTTATGTAGAAGTATTCGTGACAGCAAGAGAGTTGGTACACTGATTTTCAGTGAGCCCGTAGAATATTTCGTACATATGTTTTAAAATAACTGGATTAATAACACGCTTGGCAGGAACTTTTATAAATGCGATAAAGAAGGAAGTGGGGTTGTTGACGTGTCAGTGGGGACTATGGGTCTACCAAGACTGGCAACGCAAGGTACTTTGTTAAGTGACTTCCTGGGGCTGTAGACGGGTAGACTTAAGCACGACGTGGCATTGCGCAGGTACGCGCATGATTCACCAGCTGCCTTACAGCATTCACGATCTTCGTAATGACAACGAAGTACGCTGTCATTTTCAGACAGTTCGACTCTCAAGTCTGTTTCGGACTTCGTGGTGAATAGAGAAATTATGACCATCTTCTTACTCGCCGCAGTGGGAATTTAAAATCTCACGTACTTCACGTTGTTATACAGACCTTCCGTGTTGTGAATAAGAGTTTAGACTGTTTACTAGCTTTCTGCTGACTACTAATGGCGTGTGAAGTAGGCTACGAAGAAGTGCAGTTGTCGTTAACACTTGTTTGGTGGAGAAGACAGGGAAGGAACAAAAATATCATCTTATACCTTGAATATGGAGACGATACGTTTCTCTGAAACATTGGTAACTGTGTATAAGACTATACTACGTCACAGCTTAGAAGTTAGAATCAGAAAAAAGAATTGAGTCGGTTCAGGTGGGCTAAATTTGTAAACTAGAACGAATTTCTACAGATAATTATCTTTCGAGAATCCTTCTGCTTTGGTCTGAGCCCGGCAAGTACAGTGTCTCACTACAGACTCCTGAGTTCGATCCCTGGTATGGGTAACGATAACGTCTGCATCCAACCAGCACTGAGGCCGACCTACGCTCTTCTTATCCAGTGGTTACTGGGGGCAAAGCGCGGCCGAGGCGTGACGCTGACCACTAACCCCATCTAGTGTTGAGGTCAAGAATGAGTAGGAATTCAGTTTGTAGAAAGCCACGCAAAATTATTTGCTGAAAGTGCTACGATTAGCGATACGTGCTTGCGATCACTAACTGTATTAGCACGTTGCTAGCGTCTGTCTGCAAGACGTGTAGCCTTCCAGTTGATGGAGAATGCACATCGCGTGCCTGCCTGCCTAACCCAGCCTCGCAGAAACATATTTTTTAATGTAATCAGTTTCATTAAGTTTATTTGCATAACATAACCAAAACCATGTGCGCACAACACCACTTTATAATATACTGCATGCTGTGCTAATTTCGGATCGGACCGTGTGTGAGGTAATGCCCAGATCAGACCAAGCTCCGTCTTGTGCTGCGCTGAATTTCATCAAAATGTTGGCTATAAGTGACACGTTTTATCTTCAATGTGTTGCAACAGACAACACGCAGTTGTAGACAGAAATGCATGTTTTTGGATAGGAGATTAGAATTATTACAGAATTTTGCGTGTCGAAGGATAGATCTTCCTTCGTCAGGTAAAGAACGAGAAGACATCCACTTTTCTGGATCTGATAGACCAAACTGCTTCCGAGCTATTTGGTCCACAGACAGGAATACCTCGGTCTTCCAAATCTATCAGAATGTCTCTCTCTTATTTTACATGAAGAGAGAGGAAGTTCCATCCTTCGAAATGTCGCGACGTTTTAAGTGATTTTGGACTCTTAAAGATGGTTGATAGGAGTCCAGCACAAAGAAAGTAGTAATGTAATACCATCACCAAAGACATTAAGAGAAGAATAGACCGCGTTTGGCAGATGAATGTAACAGCTTAATTTACGTGTCGGTGTTCCTTGGAAATACGTCGGTTTCGCCGTTCTGCAAAACCGGACGAGTGGACCGGCGCCTGCCAACTGTTGCGTCTCTCCCCTACTTGTTGCTCCCCTTCCTTCATCTAAAGCTTGTTACTGAGTAAGAACCCTCACTACAATAAGCCCCAGAACACACGTCAATTAGCCTCCACTTGACGTGGGGTTGTTATAGGGAGGCACATACAAGGGTGGCTGAAAATACCAGCAGTGAGAGAATGAGTGAACGGCGCAATGTGACGTCGCTGCCAGGAGATAGGGGTTGACTTTACACACCGTATACTTTAAGAACGAGCCACCAATGCTAAATAACGAGATTGGCCACGGCCTTGAGCCAGTTCTATCCATCTCCTGTCCTCACAACCTAGTTCCCTTAACATCCCCTTTAATGATTGATTTTCTCACATCTCCACGTAGGTTTACCAGCTGGCCGCTTTAGAAGAGGTGTTCCTATAAAAATTTCGAATGCAATTGTCTCCCCCGTCCGAGTTTCATATTCATCCATTAACCCTGCAGATGGGGGGCAGTATGTGCCTTTGAAATTTGGGTAAATTTTCAAGTCCTCAGGGCGTTAAAACGCAGAAGACTAACATGGACGCGGTTCTCCGTTTTCAGTAGTATAAAAATGGAATAATTTTGCAAACAAGTCACGAAGTTTCTCGTTCTACATTCTTAATATCCCAAAGTTATCCTTGTTAGTATTTATTTCATGTTAAGGCATTTGTAATTATAACCATCGTTGAACAAGATATAGGAAGAATGCTGTCTTCTGGGTTGTTTTGCTGTGTAGTCTTGTAGATGTTTCCAGGCAGGGACAGCAAGCACCTCTGAAACGTCGACAAATTTCTGTCAGACTATACGGAGGACAGTGATCTTAATACTCATCGCCGTGAGAACCTTAAATATCACCTAGCGTTTTAGAGTTACACTTTGTGTTTCTCTCCAACCATGTGACGGTCCCTACATTAGGCAGCCGTTTGGTTTTGTGAGCATTTAACTATTTCTTCCGGTATGGTGGTGTGTTCTGTGAGAAGAAGAACATAAATTATAAGCCAGGCATGGCCAATTATTTTTACCCGGGGGGCCAGATGGGATTATTTAGAAATGGCCTCGGCTGGAGGACCTGGCAAGATAAATTTCGTACTTCAAGTACTGTTAAGCACAACTATTCGTTATGATTGATCATAATGTGTGGAATATAATATTACATAAAATGGTAGGATTTTAGGTTTTCGCGGCGGTGAGTCTGAAGATGGCTGTCTTCTGGGTTATTATTATTATTTATTTATTATTATTTAGTGTTCTGTGTGACGACAGGTCCATATGAACAGGATCCTTCCATCCTTTTCTCTTCTCG